GGTCGCGTGGACCGCCGTCGGCCTCATGCTGCTGCCCCGGGGTCTGCACTACCCGGTGAGAGCCCTCAGGTACGTGCCGGATGCCTCTTCTTTTTTCCTTGTAATTTGACACGAGCTCTGGTCTGTTGATGGTTTGGGGGATATTTGGACATACCGTGTTTGATCGCATAATGGACCGCATTTCACCTGGAGCGTTCCCTCTGAGGGGAGGGGAGGCAGCGAGCCGGAGGGTGCATCTCGTTGCTGTGCTGAGGCTCACACCCACGCGGGTGATGGCAGCTCCCCGGCTCCCTGACTCGTGACAGAGCGCCCTGGGCTCGGGGCTGCCTAGAGTTTCTACTTCATTCTGTACTTCCTTCCACTGGAGCCAAACACGGCTGCGGAGGTATTCGCGGTGCTGATGAGATAAGAGTTAGGGCTCAGAAATGAATGGTCAGGGGTGGAAGATGTGATGACATTCAGGGCTTTCTTTTCTTGGGTTCAAGGCGAGGCTTTGGCCTCGTGGAAGCTCAGAGGATGGGTGTCTGCGGAGGGGACGCTCTGTGAGGCCGCCCGGTCGGTCGCCGCGTCGGGCTGAGCGCCTGCCTGCGTGTCGTGCACAGGTGAGGGGCTCCTGTCCCTGCACTGTGCTTGCTGACCCCGAGGCGTACGCTGTCACGCACGCTGTCATGCACGAGGTGCGAACGTAGGCCTGCCCAGCACCGGGCATCGAGAGCTCAGGGGCACTTCTGGAGGAGCCTGCACTGGGCCAAGTCGTAGTGAGTCAGAAGCCAGGTGACTGAGTGTAGGGAGGCTCTCCCACGGAGAGAAAGCCCTGATGGGCATCGTCGTGAGGCAGGCATGAGAGGGGCGGCATGGACAGCGTGAGAGGGGCGGCGTGGACAGCGTGAGAGGGGCGGCATGGACAGCGTGAGAGGGGGGCATGGGCCGCGTGAGAGGGGCGGCATGGACAGCGTGAGAGTGGCGGCATGGACAGCGTGAGAGGAGCGGGCATGGACAGCGGGAGAGGGGCGGCATGGACAGCGTGAGAGTGGCGGCATGGACAGCGTGAGAGGAGCGGGCATGGACAGCGGGAGAGGGGCGGCATGGACAGCGTGAGAGTGGCGGCATGGACAGCGTGAGAGGAGCGGGCATGGACAGCGGGAGAGGGGCGGCATGGACAGCGTGAGAGTGGCGGCATGGACAGCGTGAGAGGAGCGGGCATGGACAGCGGGAGAGGGGCGGCATGGACAGCGTGAGAGTGGCGGCATGGACAGCGTGAGAGGAGCGGGCATGGACAGCGGGAGAGGGGCGGCATGGACAGCGTGAGAGTGGCGGCATGGACAGCGTGAGAGGAGCGGGCATGGACAGCGGGAGAGGGGCGGCATGGACAGCGTGAGAGTGGCGGCATGGACAGCGTGAGAGGAGCGGGCATGGACAGCGGGAGAGGGGCGGCATGGACAGCGTGAGAGTGGCGGCATGGACAGCGTGAGAGGAGCGGGCATGGACAGCGGGAGAGGGGCGGCATGGACAGCGTGAGAGTGGCGGCATGGACAGCGTGAGAGGAGCGGGCATGGACAGCGGGAGAGGGGCGGCATGGACAGCGTGAGAGTGGCGGCATGGACAGCGTGAGAGGAGCGGGCATGGACAGCGGGAGAGGGGCGGCATGGACAGCGTGAGAGTGGCGGCATGGACAGCGTGAGAGGAGCGGGCATGGACAGCGGGAGAGGGGCGGCATGGACAGCGTGAGAGTGGCGGCATGGACAGCGTGAGAGGAGCGGGCATGGACAGCGGGAGAGGGGCGGCATGGACAGCGTGAGAGTGGCGGCATGGACAGCGTGAGAGGAGCGGGCATGGACAGCGGGAGAGGGGCGGCATGGACAGCGTGAGAGTGGCGGCATGGACAGCGTGAGAGGAGCGGGCATGGACAGCGGGAGAGGGGCGGCATGGACAGCGTGAGAGTGGCGGCATGGACAGCGTGAGAGGAGCGGGCATGGACAGCGGGAGAGGGGCGGCATGGACAGCGTGAGAGTGGCGGCATGGACAGCGTGAGAGGAGCGGGCATGGACAGCGGGAGAGGGGCGGCATGGACAGCGTGAGAGTGGCGGCATGGACAGCGTGAGAGGAGCGGGCATGGACAGCGGGAGAGGGGCGGCATGGACAGCGTGAGAGTGGCGGCATGGACAGCGTGAGAGGAGCGGGCATGGACAGCGGGAGAGGGGCGGCATGGACAGCGTGAGAGTGGCGGCATGGACAGCGTGAGAGGAGCGGGCATGGACAGCGGGAGAGGGGCGGCATGGACAGCGTGAGAGTGGCGGCATGGACAGCGTGAGAGGAGCGGGCATGGACAGCGGGAGAGGGGCGGCATGGACAGCGTGAGAGTGGCGGCATGGACAGCGTGAGAGGAGCGGGCATGGACAGCGGGAGAGGGGCGGCATGGACAGCGTGAGAGTGGCGGCATGGACAGCGTGAGAGGAGCGGGCATGGACAGCGGGAGAGGGGCGGCATGGACAGCGTGAGAGGGGCGGCATGGACAGCGTGAGGCAGCGTAGGCCATGCAGTGAGTCAGGCTGATCGTGCACAGGGCGGGGCGGAAGCCAGTGCAGCTGAGGGGGTGCTCCCTGGCGATGCCGAAGGAGCTCTGTACCCGGTGCTCGGGCCTGCAGGTAGTGCGTGGGTGCAGAGCGGGGCCGAGGCCGTGGGGGCCGGGAGGATGTGGGAATGTCACCTGGGTTGCACTGCAGCTCACCAGGGCGCAGTGACCCCTCAGCCCAAGCTGCGTGCTGCCCTGTGGGAGCACGGGCCCCGCTTTGCCAGCTCTCCTGCTTTTCTAAAAAAGCTAGGAATGCGGATGAGAATGTGATTCTTGTGATTTTTAAATGTTGCCAACTGATCTGAAAATTAAAATATTCAACAAGCAAAAACCAAAGCCGAGACCAAGGACACCCACAGGCAGCGGATGTGGCCCATCGTGTCTGGCAAGGGGTGGGTCCGGGGGAGGGGCAGGGGCAGGAGCCCAGTCCTCAGATGTCGCAGTGGTCCAGGCTGGAGGTGAGGAGCACCTGGCGTGAGGCCTGGAAGGGGAGCTAATGAATATTCATGAGGCGAGCGGGGCTGTGGGGAAGGAGACTGGGAGCTGGTGGTTTGTGGACCTGTGACTGCGTGTGGGGTGATGTCACGGGCTCAGAGGGACCCGGGTCAGGACAGAGCCCTGTGCAGAGGGTGTGGGTGAGGCTGAGCGGGCAGGGCAGCGGGGAGGGGCTGAGGCTGGCTGATGGCTCTGCCGGGGTCCCGGAGGCCCTCGGTGGGAGGAGGCTGACCACTACCCTCCTCCAGGCCCTGCTCATGGCCAGGCCGGCATCCTGAGGGCCAGGCGGACCCTCCTCCTCCTCCCCTTCCACCAGCCGCCCGGCCAGGAGCAGAGGGGCTGCCGCCTGCACAGTGGCCTGTCAGCCTTGCCGCATGTTGTTACCGTGAGCGCCGTCAACGTGCACACGACCGCCTCCCGCCACGCGGCTGGTGGGCGATGGCGTGAAGGACGAGGGGAAGACAGGAGTGTATTTATAGGCTAAGGAACGGGACAGAGAAACAGCACCCTGGTGTCTACCGTGCTTTCCGGCTCTCCAAGAACTGTGGGAGTTTGTTTTTATAACGTACGGCAGCTGTCTTTTTGTTTCTGTACTTACTGAACACTTACTATGGGCGCTCGCTGCGCTGAGCTCTGGATGCGAGTGTCTCCTGTAACCTGTGCGGTGACCTGGTGAGGTAGGTGCTAGCTGCCTTCGGGTTCTCACGTGAGCAGGTCGGGCTCGGCACGGGGGGAGGAATTGCCCGGTCCCCACGGTGGGCGGACTCGGATCCGGGCTGTGCCGGCATCCCCCACAGAGGCCGGGCGGGTGCTCAGAGGAGACGGTTTGGAAACCACGTCAGCGGTCCCTGGGCTAACACATCAGCCCCCAGGATCTTTACAGGGAAAAGCCTTTCAGGCCCCGATCCCCCAGAAAAATGCACTCGGGACCCCCGCTGGTGATTCCATGCTCACTCCCATGGGGGAGTCTCCCTTAAATTAACATGTGAACGGCCCGGAAACATCTTAGTGCTCATTTATAAATGATTTGGTTAAGACCTTGTTCATTGTCATTAGCATTTGTATGAGAGGCTTCCCTTTGGGACTCCCTGGTAGGAAAGCACTTCCGTCCTGAGCACGCGGCAGAGCGAGAGCTGGTGTAACTCACACACACACACACACACACACACACACACACACACACGCACACACGCCCTGGGCACGTCGCTCCCTCCAGGGGCGGCCACTCCGCAGCGGAGGCCAGGCCGTGCCGCAGAGCCTCCTGCTTTCGGTCTGGACGGTGAGCAGTGAGCGGCGAGTCCCCGAGGCCCGCCTCTCAGTGCCGAGAAAAGCAGCCCGTCCCACACCAGGAAGCCAGGCCTGCGCCGTCCCCTGGGCGGTTCAATCACCGGGAACGAAGACGCACTGACATCTCTACTGGACTGACCCTCAGAAGCCGTATTAGGGCCTGAGGTCCATTAGGATGGACCCGAGGAGGGGCGTGTGCCAGCAGGCCCGCGCTGCGTGTTCCAAGTACCGCGTTCACCAGAGCAGCATGATAGCGTGGTCCCGGCTTAGCATGTATAGCGTGATACACAGGAAGTGAGGAACTATGACCACTGCTGTCCAAGAAACGTATTTTCAAAGTCTTGGGAGTTGAGCTGAATAACCCGATACGGCCAGGAACCTAGCAGCCAAATGCCGTGTCTTAGGAACGTGAAGAAGTGGCTGACGTCCCGAAGGCTGGCGTTCAAGTACCTGACTGAGGAGGAGTACCGGGAGCAAGCTGCCGCCGAGACCACCCGGGCCCTGGAGGAGCTGCGCCAGGCCTGCCGCCGGCCCGACTTCCCGTCCTGGCTGGTCATGTCCAGGCTCCAGGCGCCGAAAAAGTAAGCCCCGCTCAGCCCCGGGCCCGGGTTCGAGTCGCTGCGAGGGTCTGTGATGGCTGGTGCAGACCCCGCGTTAGAAGGCAAGCGAGGCTGCCAGAGCCGCTCCCCTGGTGCTCTGGCCCTGGCCCAGGCAGAACTGTGAGTGTCAGAGCAACAGCTCGGCTCCTACCGGGAAGGGGCTCCTACAAGGAAGGGGCTCATACGGGAAGGGGCTCCTACAAGGAAGGGGCTCATATGGGAAAGCGGGAGGTGACGCCCAGAGGAGCCGGAGGGTGGGACGGGCTGCGGCCCTGCTTCTGCTGGTCTGGGCAGTGATGCTGGAGTTCACCCCAAGGCCTCTCTGCCGCCATCCTCCCCTCTGCTCCCCTCCTGCAGGCTTCAGTCAGACCCCCTGCCCTCAGGGAAAGGTTGGAGGGGAAGTGTCGACGGTAAAATAAGGAACAAATCCAGACTCAGGAGAGAAGAGAGCGTTAGGGAGCAGAGCGGGTCTCGGTAGCGCTGGGCTGGCGTCTGCCCCCCCCCCCCCCCTCCGCCGCCCTCCCGGAAGGTCCGTCGGCTTCCACCTCCCGTGTAGACACCACTCTCATTGCCGCCGCATGTACTTCTCTAAAGAGGACACGGAGCAAGGGAGCTGATTTCTTCCCAGCAAACCTTTCCGTGGTCACATGAACTTTCTTTAAAACAAACACAAAATACTTAATAGGTTTGCAGACTTTGTCCTTGGAGGAAGCCACTTGTCGCCCGAAGAAGTGCGTCTTCACGAAGAGTACAGCCTGGGGGGCGCCTTCCTGGAGGAGCAGCTCTTTAACCTGGGGCAGGGGCAGCGGCCTGAGTG